TCTTACCCCGTTTCTAACAATCGCATATTCACACGATATATTGGCCATGAAGTAGGTACTTAGGTATCTACCTATACACACACACACAAAAAGTCACAATTTCTTTTTTATTCGTATGAACGACAAATCAGTCTTATGTACAAATCACTTTATTCTGTTTTAAATTAAATCTTCACTGATTTTATCACGTTGTTTCTGTGGATTGCAATTTGGAAAGTAATACATAATGTGTTTCGCTTGTGGATTAAAATTTCGCTTGCTTTTGCAAAATACTAGGAATGCATAGACCACAAAACAGAAAATAGACGACACAAAAGTTGAAATGAGTTTTAGAGAATGTTTAATATCACAATAAATTAATTGAACCTAGAAACAATTTATATGAGCTAAGTACCTATAGATATGGTATAATAATTATAAGAAAATAGACTAAATTGACCCCCTTAATATGTGGTTGAGAGAAGCGAGCCATCGCTTCTCTCAACCATCGGTCGTGCGTCATGCTCGTAAACGGGTATGAGTCCGCCAGCGGATATGAGTCTGCTCTAAACTAATTTATTATCGAAATTTTATACACGGTGTTTCAAAAATACAAATAAAGCGAAAAGGGTGTTGAAGGGTCCCTTATATAGAGCTCATTGCCAATATATGGCGACCGTAGCTTAATATTATTATTTGCCGAAACTTTAATTATTCTTCATAAAAAAATACAATTATCGACATTGCAGCGCAACTCTTTTAAAAGTTCATTACCCTTACCAGGAGTAGTATTACCTCCTACTAACTTAAATAAATCTACTCCTGGTATCCAGTATCAGTACGTACCTCATCTAGCTAATTTTTAATCAACTAATAATAATATTCAAACCCAGTGTTTATTTTAGTAGGATAAAAGATGGATTAGCTTACTTAATTCAATTAATAATTCAAAGTAAAAATCAAGTTTAGAGTCAACTTAGAAATCAAAAATAAATAATAAGGAACGACCTCAATTCGTACCTATCTAGGTAATTGCTTACATACATGAATAATTTAAGTATTATAAAAGAGTTTTCAGCATTAAACAAGTGTATTTATCATACTTTTAAGGCTTGGTTGGTATGTATGTACTATCTAGCACACACAAGATTTAGATTAATGATTTTAAGTGTTATTTCTAGGTAAAAGTAGGTATAACAGAAAATCAGCTCACCACTTATTCTTTCGTGAAAATAATCTGATATCATATCAGGTCCGGAACTCGAAACACTTGTGACACACTCACTTAACAACAACTTAGAGGAGCTAACACAACACAACACATAACTTCAGAGTCTTAGAGGAGCGGTTCAAAATGAGCTCCCCCTTGCTGAATACACAGCGATACCCGTCGGGACACGGCTTGGGTCGCATTTCTCAACATCGTTGGTGTAATTGACGCGAACACAGATCTTACTCGTTGCTCCATTTCTCCAAGTGTTGGACAATCAGTGAAGTACACCCTGTCCTTCACGTAACCCCACAAGAAAGGGTGAAATTGAATGTTTTAATGAAACTTTGTGGGATTGTTGGGTTACGTATATAGAGTATCTCTGAATTTTTTCGGATTTTTTAAAAATGATTTAAAATAAAATTCCTTTTTTTTTGTTATATTTTAAGTCCTTTCCTCCTTTTGGGTACTAAATAATTATTCTTTTTAAACACGCATACAGAGTAAGTAAAAAACAACTAATAAGCACTACTAAAAAAAACGTAAAAACAGAAGACGAGCGGCCGGGAGCAATGACCGCTCCCGCCCGTTGAATCGGTTGAATACCTACCTATGCGTTGAATACCTGCAAAGCGCAGTGAGCGAGCGCAGTGTCAAGTTTATAAACCGCGCGTGCGTATCTTTTAAATTTGTGACAAGAGAAGATTTGCAAATAATGCCTTGATTAGTTCTTGTTCTGTGGCCTCAATATAAGAAGTTGGATATGGTGTGTTGTTATTGTAGTGTCACGGAATACTCAGCAGAGCCACAAGTACAGTTTGGTTTCTATTATTGTAATTTTTTGGTTTTTTTTTTATAATTGTAACTTGTTTTGTGAGCTTAATAAATAAATAAAAAAAAATATCAGCGTCGGCGACGTCGGCCACCGCCGATGGCCTCGCGCCTGAGGGGGCCTCGCAAAAAATTTTTACTAGTTACCTATTTATTTTCGTTTCTCCTGGCCTGGCTTAGGTAGCTGACCCCGAACAATTCGGGGAAAAAGCTAAGCAGATGATAATGACTTTTATTATTTTCGAACACGTGCGTGATGGAAGCGAGTAGTACTTTACGGGTATTCAGAATCGTCTGTCTGGCAACACTATTTTTGTAATTAAATTTCTATGTTTGTAATTATTTTTTGCCATCATTTGATTATCAACAATAAAACTCGTTTACTCATACGTCATTTTATAATTTGGCTCACTTAATTTAACGGTTTTTTACTGCGAAGTAAAATAGGCCTCGCCAACTTGATGTCGCCGACGTCCACATGTGGTCTAGCCCCGCCACTGTTTCATATCTTTATTTACACCATGCAATTTTCTTGTACATACAAGAGCAATAATTGCATACAATTAAATGATGCGCAATAATTGACTTTCAAGAATTGTAAGCAACTGTTTACACGCGGATATAGTTAAAAGGTTGCATACAATTATTGAATGCAAGTTTTGACAAAAAAAGAATTGCAAAGGTCTTTCGTTTACACCAATCCAATTTGACAAGAAACAACAACGTATTTGACAAGTTTTAGAAAACGATCTCACTTTATTTACAATTGTTTATGCAGTCCACAAAAAGTGAATATTTATCATTCTGTTGCATAATTCAGTGAAAAACCTTTCATAAAAATAATCCGTTTTCATGTTGCCACGAAAACTTTTCTCTGGACTCTGGACACTGGACAGTATGGAGTCTCACGTGACCACACACGATTGTCATTAAAACGTCAAACGATACAATTTAATGTCACTTTATCCGGAAGTTTACTAGTGTGTGACTATGACGTCAAATGTAATGTTAGTCTTGGCCAATGCCATGCGTTTTCTGTCACGTGACCACAGAACAAAGAAATCATTTCTATTTAATGATTTTTTAGAGAAGTTAATAAATATTTATTCTGTAAGAAAAGTAAAATCGCTGCTAATATTCTTATTAAATACAGATGCCAGCAATTGGTACAAACTTTATTTTTCTTACTGCATACTTTCAAATATTGACATGTCTAAAAACAGACTTGTATGCGCGTATACTATTTATTTTACAAAATACGCCTTCTCTAAACGTGTTTTTGTTGGTGTAGTCGTTTCTTTCTTTTTATTATGGCAGTCCATCCCACCAGGGTCTTGTAGGGGATAAGGGCTTTATTACAACAGATTTCGCCCTGGTACTCCGAGGCATTAGATATATGACATGTTTATACACTCTCATATCATACCATTCAGCTCTCGACACATGTTCATCCATCTAGTCTAATAAAATTCATATTCATAACAAATGGAACAAGCTGGAATGGAATGTAAAAATAAAGAATAACCAAACGAGCCCAAACTTGATGGGGTTGCGTCGCTTCAATACAGGGTTCCTAGAGTTCATCAGATCAGCTACATAGTACCACATTATTGCATTGTCGCCAGACTTGCATTAGTGGTCCAAAAATGCAAATTTTAAGCTACAAAGCTCTACATAGTTAACTTTATATACGAATAGTGCAAGTTAAATAAAAGCTTGTAAAAATAGAGTAATGATTGCATCCACAGTGGAAAAACAAAATCGCTTAAATGCCACTTTACTAACTTTACAGAAAAAGTATAAATTTTCACAAAAAAAACATAACTCATTGTAAATGAGAAGTAGTGCCATAAAATAAATTATACTCCACAAAAGTTATAAGTAGTATTTAATTCGCATATTCTAAATTTTTTTAAGTCATAGTCAACTTTTTGATTAGTTATATTGTGATCCGTATACATTACATGAAACAAAACTTCAAAGAATAACGTATTAAAATTCGTTAAAGATTATGCCAAATTAATAACGCGCTATGAAAAGCTCGTCCTTCACAAAGTACCTACCGCCACTACTGACGCTATGAGCTCGAGCGTAAGCTTGTTGAAAATATATCGATGTATCGATATATCGATATTTTTTGTTCGATATATCGATATTTTTTGCCGATATATTTTGATTCGATATATCGATACATCGATACAAAATAACCAATATCGAAATTCGTATCAAAAACGATATTTTTTTAATTATTAGCGGCATATCACGATCTAACTAAATTAGTATCTGGAAAAATCGTAACTGGATCTCAGATTAATGATATTCAACATATCTATGATCTGTGCTGTATTTAGTATTGTCTATTATTTGTAAATCTGTTTCGCTGGGGAATTGGTTGTGCTGATTTCCATTATATTCTGTGGAAGTGTGTAACTGTCTAGTCTTGTTTACGAAAGATGGCAGCTGAGAGGCCCTGCAATCATTTTCATCATTCGGAAATAGGGTCTATTTTTAGATAATTTTCGTTCCATTATTATTCCGCGTGTCATATTTCGTGAGATACTGTACTGCCATGTAGTGTAGCGGCAATTTGGTACTTTGATGATTCTTTCTTTAATTATAATTTGTATTGAACTATTATTACTGTGCTAGGCTGACCTAAATATATTTTTGGGAAAATTGGTCCGATATATCGATGATTTTTTTCGCGATATATCGAAGCCGATATTGATATTTTTTAAAATATCGACGTATCGATATATCGATATTTTTTTCAACTTTCGACATCCCTACTCGAGCGCTCGTGCACTGTTTGCCGAGTTGTAGAACTGTCATCTATGCGTGTGTAAAGTATTTTTGATGTAAACATATTTTAATAGACTTCTCTGAACTATAGGCCTTATTTGTATCAGGTACCTGACTTGTTTATTGTTTACAATATGTTTTTGTTTGTTTTAATGATACGAACGAAGTTCTTACTTACCCCATCACTCTGCTCATAGTTTAATCCAATCTGAATATTTTGGTGTACCATAGTGTTGCACTGCAACAAAATAAATAATATCTAAAGTACAGTTTGGACAGTCTGTAAGTATTGTTGAGCCACATTATTCATGTCCATTAACAATGCCATTATCACCCAAGTAAGAAATGCGATATATGTAAAGACAGATCAACTTACAAGCGTACCCGCTATAACATAATGTAAAGAAAAGAAATACTGAATGGTGTTTTAAAACCAAGGTATGATTTCCCCATTACAATCTGTCCATGTAGGTCTACTGTTAGAAGTGACTGAAAAAATATTTCCATTCGTTCCCACGGTACACCTGAAGAAGCTGTATGGCGCAGATAGAGCGGTCGGTCTAAAATGGTAAATTTTTATTTTTTTGATAGCCGAACGAAGAACGAAGAACTTTAGTTCTCACTTCGGATAACACGTTAAATCGAATATTCCAGACAGCCAATCCGCAATGTGACAGCGACCTGAGTGATGGGTTATGATTATGTTCCAATCTTTTCTTCTGATTCCGTCTTCAATAGTGAGAACCAGGCGAAGAAGATGATTTCACAAACACCCAAGATCTGCATAGGAAAAAATGTAGTATTGTGTAACACCTCTTGTTATCAAAGCAATACTGCTATGATAGGATTCGAACTTATGGTTTTGCTGGGGTCCACCGCCGGACCGCTGCTACATTACATACTCATTGCAGTAAGGATTACCAGTTTATAAAGGATGATATTACTACGACAGGCGCGACCAATTTAAACTGTCTAAATCTTCTGTGCTCTCTTAAAGTAAGTACGTTAAAAGATTGTAGGTCTTCGAAAAGAGGATTTAAAGTCTTATTTGTAAAAAACATTTTTTTCTCTGAAACTCACCTTTTTGAATAACTAACAGACAGAGTATAACAAAACCGACACTATCACAAGGAGTTCGCAATAAAATAATAAAACAGTCTTAAACTTAACCTTAAATCAGAGATAAAGTTAATTCAGATTTAGATGCGACATATCAGTTACTTCTGTTGTATTTAACTGACATTCTCGGCTCGCTCACTCTTATTGCCGAGTATGATAATATAATGTGCAAATGCGACGGGCAATTAACGACTGGAATATCATAACGCTAGTAACATATTGGCTCTTCATTGAATTCCGGACTTTGTTACACTCGTAATAAAACGGTTTTTGTATGCCTTGATTGACAGAAGATCTGTTCAAAGATGCCATTATGCTAGTTGACAATATTGTGTTACAGTTTTATAACAAGAAACTTTCCTAAAATAAGGTGACTGCCCGTGACTTTGTCCACATTTACATGAACATAAGAATTCTTAAACAGTTCGCTTATATTACTAGGTACGTACCTATCGGATCCCTTTTTATTATTCGAAGAAATAGGTAAACTTAGGTTAATTTACCTATTTTTATCATATATAATTATTGTAGACATTTGCTACCTTAACAATCAAGTCTGTTGATAAGTACTTAAGGTTCCAGGGCTTCACGGGATTGGAAGTGGGATTAGGATAGGTAAATTGTGATTTAACTAAGAATAGGACCGTCTGGGAGCCATATTGTGACGTCATAGCTGGCCATTCAAACCAAATAGGAAGGGTGAGCAAATAGAAGATTTTATTTAATAAAACTTATTTACTAAGATTAAGTGAGAAACAACATCAGATTTTTTTAATAAAATTGATTTACTAAGATTGAGAATTAAAACCAACCGATTTTTCATAATGTTTATTTATTAAGACTGTGTGAAAAAACATTAATCAGAATCTAGCTCTTCAATTCCGCTCATCTCTGCATTACCGCCGAAGTAGTTATGAATAGTCATGCACTATTACTATATAGGTGACATACGAACATGCATCCTTTATGTAAACGAAAGTTTTAAATCGAGTTTCTGAACGCAACTTAAGAGTGACATATGGTTGACGATTTGGGTTATCAAACATTCATAGCCAAAGCTCAATAAATGAAAAAAAATATCAACCAATATTATTTATTAATATTTTGTTATTGATCGTTTACAACTGTTTGGTTTGTATTCTAGAATTAGCCGAGTGCTAAAAAAGTGTTACAAGATTTATTTGCAAATCGTACTCTTCAAGCGACATTTGACAGATGGAGGTCATTGGCTTTCCTATTCTTATTTGAATCACAATCATTACATTATGGGGACCGCTTACCATGAGGCGATCATAACGACTGTTACCATCCATTTGAACGACCTCCGTGGCAGTGGTTTAAACGCCGGGTTTCAAGGTGACGCCTCTTCGAGAGGTCCCGGGTTCGAATCCCTGTAGGGCAGATATTTGTGTGATGAATAAGAGCATCTGTACTCCAATCATGGATGTTTAATATGTATTTCTATTAATATAAATATACTTATAATGTATTCTTTCCATTACACTTGTATCCCATAACACATATATCAACATCTACAACACTCACACCAATTAGCCTAGCCCCAAAGTAAACACTGTAAGGCTTGTGTTATGGATTACTTGGGTAACGGATAGAATACATTGTACATATATAAGTACCTAATATATAAAATTCTCGTGTCACGGTGTGCGTAATTGAACTCCTCCGAAACGGCTCGACCGATTTTCGTGAAATTTTATATGCATATTCAGTAGGTCTGAGAAACGGACAACATCTATTTTTCATCCCCCTAAATGTTAAGGGTGGTCCACACTTAATTTATTTTATATTTTTTACATTTCTTTTTATTTTTATTTTTTTATGATACATCATACAAAAATACATACAACCCTAAATTTTCACCCTTCTGTCACCCATATTTTTATGGCGATACGAAGTTCGCTGGCTCAGCTAGTATTTATATAGAAATATCAATATAACTTTCAACTAAGTTTATCTGTCCCCTCGAGTCTGGGAATTTGTAGCTGCTTATTATAGAGAAAATCCCAAATCACCCCGTTTTCCAATTGTAACAGTGGATCGGATAAGTATCTTATTAGCCCGATTTACCGAACTATTTCCTTCTGAATAGAAATATTTTTGTGAGTAACCTTGGCTTGACTGTTTTTCATTTTAAAACCACACGAAGACTAGCTAAGCTTTATAGCTGCTTAAGTATACATACTATGTATGGGATTCTACGATTTTGAACTAAATTACATAGTAATTAAAACAAATGCGTTTATTCATGAACCAATGCATATTTGAAAACAAGGATCAGTTAAGTACTTATCATTTTAAAATTTTAAACCTTCTTACTATTAGTTTTACGGGAGCTTTCAGAGTCTTAATTTTGATTTTCTTTGCGAAAGCAATAGCATAAGTAAACACTGACTTAATGATGAATTACATTTAATTGACGTCCCGGAATGCGCCGTTAAATGTTTTACAAACATAGTTTCGTGACCACGGAACCTAAAACAGGTCGGACACATCAACTACATTTGTTCGTATTTGATCGGATTCGCAAAAGGACGGATCCTCGTTTCGCCGGATCCAGTACAGTAATATGGAGAATTATATATTAACTTGTGGCCCGCCCTTGCTTCGCTTCGGGGTAGAATTGATCAAAATCCTTTCTTAGCGGATGCCTACGTCATAACATCTACCTGCATGCCAAATTTCAGCCCGATCCGTTTAGTGGTTTGGGCTGTGCGTTGATAGATCACTATGTCAGTCAGTCAGTCGCCTTTGAGTTTTATATACATATAATAACACATTTATTTTCCAGTCAATGATTTATTTTTGCACTTATTTTAAGATTGCTGAAGAAGGCTACTGTTTTATAATGCAAGAATAAAACGATTACATTATCATTAAATATGCAATAAAAAGTGACGTAAAAAAAGAAGAACAAATTGGACGAATTGTATCTAATTATGTTATACTAGCAAACCAGTGAACCAAATGTTCACCAAAACCTGATTTAAAAAAAAATGTATTTAATTAATTGAGAACTTCGGAGATTTTGTGTGGTTTCGTTTGAAATTCGTGATTTCTCGAAAACCGGAAGTACTACGTTACTCAAATCCGGTTTGTAGTCTTATCAGACTATTCTTAACTTATAACTTAAATAAATTCTCTTTATCTATCTCTTACGGTTTGGCCGCTGAAACAGCACCACGGACAGACGGACTCGTCTAATAGATAAGAGATTATGTTAGATAGAATTAATTTTTTTCAATGTTTAATTGATTCGATTTTTTCAGTATTTTTAAATCTATAGCAGAAAAAAGTTTGAGGTTTTTACTTTTTATCGATAGCATTTTTCTTGTTAACTGTATTTCGGCGAAATGAGAATCCGTCCTGCTGCGAATCCGACCAAATGCGAACAAATGGTCAATTATTCTATTTGTAACATAAAATATATTTAAATATATAAATTCGTTTTATAACCTGTACCTGTTTTAAATATTCGACGGTCTAACGGAAAAAAATTAGGAACAATTCAGACAGCTATTGGGAAAAGAGAGATTTTTTTGGTTAAGTGATTTTTCAAGTGAACTTAAACAAAACTTATCAGAGGCCCAAGTACGAACTTTGATAACTCCGCAATCGTATCGCATCGTCAAAGATTCTATGAACACTAAGCAGCGCTCCTACCAGCGCTCGTACACAGATGCGCGTGCGATCTGCAACTGTGCGACTGTTAAGTTAGTGCAAATCGTGGCGCAGTAAAACAATATAGAGATTATAAATATTTCTAACACTCGCACCAACTAGCCTAGCCCTAAAGTAAGCACTGTAGGATTGTGTTATAGGATGCCAGGGTAACGGATAGAATATATATCTATATAAGTATATTTACATAGAAATAAATATTAAACATCCATCTGGAGTACCTACAAATGCTCGTTTTCATCACTCAAATATCTGCCCCCACCGGGATTCCAACCCGGGACCTCTCAAGTAGGCGACACCTTGAAACCCGGCGTACATACCACTCGGCCACGGAGGTCGTCATTATGTCTGAAATGTAGCACGGGATGTCACTGAATTGAAACCTGCGCATAGCCGCGCCCGCTGCTAACTTCACTGTTGCCATAAAGTTTGAATCGCATTCTACTTAATCAGCGATTGACGTAAAAACTGATTGTAGTTGTATATGGAACTGTTTCGCAGGTAGCTGCGAAATTGCCGTTACACGGCTGCAGAGAATAATTCTTTTTTTTTATTTCAAAGGAATTGGTCGTATACTGGCCTTTTGTAGCTAATACCTAAGCTATCATTGAATGAATTGGATGAGGCGTATGTTTGAAAACTGCCAAACGAGAATAAGTAGAATTCAACTAAACGTACTTTGATCTAATGTAGCTTGACCAAAGCAAACCAGAAGCTGCGTTCGGTAATTGCATCGCAGAGGCGACGGATTTTTGGTCACGTGATCACAGATTATTCTGAACAAATCGCTATTACCGAACGGACCGACCAACCGTAGATTAATTTCTAAACTCAAACAGAAACTAAACTCGCAACATAACAGATCAATCTTTATCGTCGGTCAAAACACTCCGAGCAAACAGATTTACATTGGACTGATCTTAGCGGAAGTACCGAACGGTTCAGATTTACTCTAGATGTAATAAACGAACGATTCGGACTTAAAAGATTTATCAGACGCAAACTTAGATTAAAACAAAAAGGGAAATAAGTCACTCGCGGCTCAAAAGTGATCCGCTCAAATTGTGGTGCATAACCACAATTCGCTTTAGTCACAATTGAACATCCAAACACGATGCATGTGTACTCAATATAACAATATTGCGTATATTCTGTGTTATAAAGATAAAACAATGCCTTCGTTGCTTTTTTATAGAACTCAAACAGTTCAAGATCAAATAACTAATGCCACGGCAACACTTTTCATTCGTAAAACTATAAAAACATTTTATTGTCACAATGTTTGCCATGAATGTAAGTAACTGTTTCGCCATTTTTTATCCAGAAAAGGACAACAATACAACTCAGCAGTCTGTAGAGAGAGGAAAGAAAACGCAAATCGACGCGGACACGCGCCGTTTCGCTCGCGCTGCGTTGAAGCGTATAATTCTGTTTTGCTCGCTCGAT